TGCCTTGTGGTGTGCCTTGTGGTGTGTGGTGTGCCTTGTGGTGTGTGGTGTGCCTTGTGGTGTGCCTTGTGGTGTGTCTTGTGGTGTGTGGTGTGCCTTGTGGTGTGTGGTGTGCCTTGTGGTGTGTGGTGTGCCTTGTGGTGTGTGGTGTGCCTTGTGGTGTGTGGTGTGCCTTGTGGTGTGCCTTGTGGTGTGTGGTGTGCCTTGTGGTGTGCCTTGTGGTGTGCCTTGTGGTGTGTGGTGTGCCTTGTGGTGTGGCAGTTGTTAGTAGTATGAGGGTGTTTTGTACTGGGGTAAACTGGTTTGATTTGACGCACCTGCTTTGTGTCCTGGACCTATTTTGTGTCCTGGACCTATTTTGTGTCCTGGACCTATTTTGTGTCCTGGACCTATTTTGTGTCCTGGACCTATTTTGTGTCCTGGACCTATTTTGTGTCCTGGACCTATTTTGTGTCCTGGACCTGTTTTGTGTCCTGGACCTGTTTTGTGTCCTGGACCTGTTTTGTGTCCTGGACCTGTTTTGTGTCCCGGACCTGTTTTGTGTCCCGGACCTGTTTTGTGTCCCGGACCTGTTTTGTGTCCCGGACCTGTTTTGTGTCCCGGACCTGTTTTGTGTCCCGGACCTATTTTGTGTCCCGGACCTATTTTGTGTCCCGGACCTATTTTGTGTCCCGGACCTATTTTGTGTCCTGGACCTATTTTGTGTCCTGGACCTATTTTCTGGGCCCGGACCTATTTTGTGTCCTTATATTTTATGTCCATGTAACATCGTTATTTTGTTATTTGATGGACGTGTTTTATATGATAGACCTATGCTCCTACGAAGTATACTAGTGGGCTTGTTGGATTGTTTCAAGTTTATTTCAATATTGTTTAATTTGCGGAACATTTCTAGTTTGGTTAAGTCGCACTCTTGGAATATCAAATAGATATTTGTTTCTAGTGTGGTGCCCAACGGGTTCTGTTACAACAGTTTCGGAAGTGTTTAAGGTCAGGCTTGGTATTACACGGGTATACTCACCTAGTTGTGCTTGCGGGGGTTGAGCTCTGGCTCTTTGGTCCCGCGTGAATGGGTGGGAATGAATGGGTGTGACGTGGGTCGGCGTTCCTTCTGCAGTGGAAGGTAGAGTGACGGCCTTACTTGTTGCAGGTCGGCGTTCCATGCCCGATGGAGTCCAGTTGGATAGCATGCTTTTCCTCCGCCCTAGCCTAAATCCCTAGCCTCGTATCCCTTCCAAGAACAAACACTTTCACTCACTCTATCTCTCACTCCTCGCTTACTTCACATTCACTTTTCATTCTGTCGTTCAAGAGAAAATCGAAGCGGAAATAATCCTCATCAAGGGCTTATATTACAAATTGAGTAGTTGCATCAGGATCCCTAAAGTGGGGCTGGGGAGGGGCGGAAGAGCCCCCCCCCCCCCAGAGTGCTTGCAAGCACTCCTAAGGTGAGACCACTTGATATGTTTCAAAGGAACATTATTTCGGTACTATTTAGAAAGATAATTTCGAGTTTAAATTTACAAGTAAATATCATGTTTAAGAAAACACAGCTGGGGCCTCGGGGCATAAAAGAATGCCTTGGTCATTATGGCATAGTTATGCCTGGCATCGTTATCGTGTACATCGTTATCATGTGTATCATTATCATGGCTATCATCGCCGTTACCATGAATATGATAATGAAGGAATTATTATTTAGGTTTAAGCATAGCAAGATGGTACAGTTGGGAGAGGATGGAATGGTGGGTGGGTTCTTGGTGGCCGAGGGAGGGGGTGGGTTCTGGTAGGGGCTTGGGGAGTGGGGTGGGTCTGGTAGAGATGGGGATGGGGTGGGGGGGCAGGCTACAGTTTGGACTGGTCAGTGGAGGAGGAAGGCCAATATTTGCTTAGTAAAGAGCAGACTTGTCCCATGTTGGGTGGCGCCGTACACCTTGCTCTCTCCAACACTTCCTGGTGGGCCGCCGGTCTCCTGGGCCCGGGCTTGGGGAGTAGAACAACTCCCAGAACCCCATCAACCAGGGGCGCTACGTAGCCCCCTCACGGCGCTGGCTATGGTCTTCTGGGTACTCCAGAGCACATTCCAGGTACTCTCCTGGTACACTAATACACGCCAGTACTATACTTGGTCGTCTGTGTACCACGACACCTTCGAAGGAAAACCCTAAGATCTCAAAAACATCTTGGGCGGACCTAAGTTACCTTTCGTGTTCTTAGGCTACACAAGTCTGAGGCACTTGGACTCTGCTTGATGGGGTTCAGGGAGGTATTCTACTCCCCCAAGTCCGGCCCGAGGCCAGGCTCGACTTGTGAGAGTTTGGTCCACCAGGCTGTTGCTTGGAGCGGCCTACAGGCCCACATACCCCCCACCACAGCCCGGTTGGTCCGGCACTTCTTTGAGGAAACAATCTTAGTTTCCTCTTGAAGATGTCCACGGTTGTTCCGGCAATATTTCTTACTCTGAGCTACCTGGAGGTACGCACGGTATTAAGAATCTGGTATTAAAACGAATATTTGTCTTCTGAAGTTGGTATTATTTTCTCGTATGACCGTACCTGTGGCATCCCTGCTGATGGCTCGCCCGCTTTGGGCATCCTAATGCCTCTAGTGCTCATGTTTGCCAGAATTTATGACCGCAGATTCGAAATTAATCATAAAATGTTTTCAGTTCTTCTTATTTCTTTGAGACATGGACGCCAAACTTTTCACATAAAACACGCAAGAAAAGTATTAGAAGACCAAGTTTACAATTTGCATTAAGAATTGCTCCCATACTGGAAGGCGATCCAGGTTAAGGTATGCAGAGTAAACTGCTGGGTGTACTCTCGCTGTCTCCAGTTTACCCTGAGATGAATCAGTCTCCTTAAGATTAGCAAAGTTAGGTCAGGTCAAGTCAAGCTAGATTTGGTCTGGTTATTTTTCTACTAATTAGTTTGCTGTAATTCATAATTAAAGTAGGTGTGGGAGGCAGTGTGGGCTTAAATGTGCTAGTTCCCTTCTCTGTATTACTGCCTCTGCATTACTGTATTACTGCAGTAATATTGTATTATGGCCTCTTGAATGTAACCATCTTCAGCTAGTTCACAGGCGTTCGGCGTGGTCCACCGCTGGCCATTAGCTAATTTGAACGGGCGCGCTCAGTCACGAATTGCTGTTTCGGGTCGTTATGAGAAATGGTTGTCGCTTGGGAAGGGCCAATGAGAGAGGCATATATTGCTGTCAGGCCAGGTTGTGGTGATGGATAGCCTCGTTACGAGTCATGCAGACGGCACACTGCCAACTGTTTTCCCCTCTCGTTGAGTCTGCCTCGTTGTGTGTATTGTGGGAGGAAGAGGAGGTTGTTCTGCCCTTATTGTTGTTGGTCAGTTGTTGTTATAGATTCAGCTACTCGGAACAAGTTGCAAGTAGCACGGGCTATGGTGAGCCCGTAGTGGACTTACCTGGCACAGGAGCGGGGCAAGTAGCACGGGCTATGGTGAGCCCGTAGTGGACTTACCTGGCACAGGAGCGGGGCAAGTAGCACGGGCTATGGTGAGCCCGTAGTGGACTTACCTGGCACAGGAGCGGGGCAAGTAGCACGGGCTATGGTGAGCCCGTAGTGGACTTACCTGGCACAGGAGCGGGGCAAGTAGCACGGGCTATGGTGACCCCGTAGTGGACTTACCTGGCACAGGAGCGGGGCAAGTAGCACGGGCTATGGTGAGCCCGTAGTGGACTTACCTGGCACAAGAGCGGTGCTGTGTGTGTTGGTCAGTGGCATCCCTACTCTCTCTCTCTCACCACCTCTCCCTCCCCCACCTCTACTCTCTCCCCCACCTGTCAAGCCTGGCCTCAGGCCGGGCTCGGGGAGTAGAATAACTCCCCGAGCTCCGTCAAGCAGGTACCTCTTCTTCCTCCACACACTCCCCAGGTCGGTGTTCAATCCCCGACCGTCCAAGTGATTGATTGATAAAAGATTAAGCCACCCAAGAGGTGGCACGGGCATGAATAGCCCGTAACGTCCAAGTGGTTGGACACCATTCCTTTCCCTCCGTCCCATCCCAAATCCTTATCCTGACCCCTTCCAAGTGCTATATAGTCGTGATGGCTTGGCGCTCACCCCTGATAGTCCCCCCCCCTTCACACACATCTGTGCTCACCTAGTTGTGCTTGAGGGTGTTGAGCTTTGGCTCTCAACTGTCAATCAGCTGGTGTTCAGATTCCTTAGTTCTGTAGCTGTGTGCTTCACCTGTGTGAAGAATTAATTCCTTTGCATTTTACTTCGCAGTTGTTCATTGTTCGCGTGTATAGTATTTCGTTTTTATTACTCTTACGCAGCCAGTAAACCCAGTTTACTTGGGAGCCGGTCGGCCGAGCGGACAGCACGCTGGACTTGTGATCCTGTGGTCCCGGGTTCGATCCCGGGCGCCGGCGAGAAACAATGGGCAGAGTTTCTTTCACCCTGAATGCCCCTGTTACCTAGCAGTAAATAGGTACCTGGGAGTTAGTCAGCCGTCACGGACTGCTTCCTAGGGGTGAAGGCCTGGTCGAGGACCGGGCCGCGGGGACACTAAAACCCCGAAATCATCTCAAGATAACCTCAAGATAGCCATAGTAATATTATACATAGCTGGGGAGGGGGGTGCATAACCCCCCATACTTACGTCATCTTGAAAGTATTGATATAGGCACTAAGAAGATTTCTGAGAAGGGTGCATTATTAATACATTTGTCTTGTGTGCCACAGACGATGGGGATATTTCCAACTTCTGCGAGGTACAGAAAGTATTGATGTGTTACAGTATTACAAAGTATTACAAAAATTAGTATTACAAAATATCAGTATTACAAAGTATTACAAAATATCAGTATTACAAAATATTAGTATTACAAAATATTACAAAATATCAGTATTACAAAATATCAGTATTACAAAGTATTACAAAATATTGTTGTATGTACTAAGAACATTTCTGAGAGGGGTACATTATTAATGAATACTTTTGTCTTTGTACCCACAGACGATGGGGAATATATACAACTTCTGCGAGGTGGGTCTGAAGATCTCTGGGGTGTCGCCCCTTCACGCCCGCGCCGCCCTCGTCTACCACACCACCAGCTTGACCGCCGTGCAGGCGGCCACCACCGCCCACCACACTGTTCTCTTCATGGGCACAGCCTCCGGCACACTCAAGAAGGTACGTCCATATCGCTCATCTTTTCTCTAAGTTCTATTTTGGTGTCTTAAGAATAATGGAGGAGTTGGTCTTGCGGGCTTCAAGATCTTCCAGCCTGAAGATCAAGCTTTTATAATTGACAAAATGGTAGGTTTTGTGTCGCATCGCTTCTGGAGGGAGGGAATTGTCATGGGAAACCGTTTTGTTGTTTTTAGATTCAGTTCCAAGTAGCACAGGCTATGGTGAGCCCGTAGTGGACTTACCTGGCACAGAAGCGGGGCTATAACTGGGGAAACCGCCAAACCATTGCGACTATAGCACTGGGAAGGGGTCAGAATAAGGATTTGGGATGGGGCGGGAGGGAGGGGGGTGCAAAGGAATAGTGGCCGACAGTCGGGGATTGAACACCGACCTGCATGATCTGCATGGAGACCGTCGCTCTACCGTCCAGGCCAATGATGGCTGGAGCGATTGTATACTGCACCTTTTACAAATATATGTGGTTTGGTCATTAGGTGTTTCGTCTCGTTAGATTCTTCATATTGGGGGAGTTCAGTGAATATTTGTGTACCTATCTCGATGGCCAGATTAATTTTGTGTTGTGCGATGGGCATGCCATTCTTGCTATGACTCCAGATAAATTATAGTCAAGCATTTCGCCTGCTGAACATCTAGTCTCTCGTGGCAATTTCTCAGATATTTAAAATATATTAGATACTTCTAAGTATGCAGGCGATGAGTCACAATAACGTGGCTAAAATATGATGACCAGACCACACACTAGAATGTGAAGGGACGACGACGTTTCGGTCCGTCCTGGACCATTCTCGAGTCGATTCTCAAGACAATCGACTTGAGAATGGTCCAGGACGGACCGAAACGTCGTCGTCCCTTCACATTCTAGTGTGTGGTCTGGTCAACACACTTCTAAGTATCTCATATCTACGCATCACGCCCTTCTCTATCATTCTTGCTAGTCATGTGGTATATTCGTTTGTTTAGCTTCACACTGTAGGCGTCTTAGTTATCGTAAAGAGGAGTTACGATAACATCGTAACTTATGAGTTGTGTAGGTCTTTGTTAATTGGTAATTGGCGCGACAGCTGCTGCATGACAGCCGGATGTGGTGCTGACATGGTTGTTAGTATGTCCCAGCCGGCCGCTGTTCTCCCAGCCCTGCCAGTCATCCATGGTGGCGGATTATGTTATGAGAAGACACTAGCTCTCCATATATGTCAGTTGCTTAGTTTAGAACCTGTACTTGAGGTCGATCTCGAACCCATTGTTGATGTGACGACTTATATTTTGTAATTAGCTCAAGATTGTAACTTGCTTAGCTAAATGAATTGTGGGGTTCAGTCCCTGAGCCCATTATGTGCCTCTGTAACCCTTTCCACTACCGCCCGCAAGATGGGTATGGGGTGCATAATAAATGAAGTAAACTAACTATGAGAAGGCGCCGAGCCTAGCCCGTCCTCCTAAGTTTTCCCACAGTCAAGAAAACGGTCAATTTAAAGTGGTCTCTCCTAACCTGCCAGAGGACCCAAAACAGAACACGGGACAGTACGTCACTTTCACCAGCCGCCTCCATTTTTTAGTCCAACAGTTTTTGGCCTTATGTAACGCATACGATCGAAAAGCGGCGTTCTTGGTCAGAGGACAGGTTGAGGTAGGTAAGCTAGATGGGTTGGGGGGGGGTGTAATTAGTACTAGAGTTGAATTTGTCGTTTGAAGCCTCTCTCCTGGTTGACAGCTTGACAGCTCAAAAGGAAGATAGCCACCAACCTCTACCCACAATTCAGATGTCGCGCTAACCCCCACCTGGTTACCTGATTGACCAGGTATTGGACTTCGAAATACCCACTGGACTTCGAAATACCCACTGGACTTCGAAATAGCCATAGACAGCCTGTTCGTGCCCTCTGCCCCATATCCGGACTCCTGGAGTTGCATATTCAACAAAAATAACAAAAACAAAAATAATAATAATCTTTCACAGGCTCTTGATGAGTTTCTCGTGCGCCACAATAAAAAGAAATTATTTGACTACAAATTTCCTCATAAGCATGTCTTAAAATCCCTCTTAAATATTTTCTTTAAATAATGCAGCAGCACACCGGTTTCCATCGACCGATAACGAAAGATAGGTTGAAATAAAACCCCAAAATAAAAAAATCCTCTGCATGCCAAGCAGGAAGGAAGGTGTAAGTGGTTATTTTCACATCACCGGGAACAACGCCTGAATGCACGATGTTGCTTCGACCATTCCTTTAACGGGCGCTCAGTTCTCTTGCCGCCTCGTGCAAGAGCGTCGGTCGGGTTCAGCCAGGGCGTTATCTTTCCGCGGCCATAAAATCCATGAAGGACATGTGGGTCTGAGATAGCTCTCCGCCACCCTCCCCTTCCATGCGGGTCTGCGAGATAGCCCTCTCCACCAGCCTCCCCTTCGTCACGAGAGCAGCGCGCCCACGCCCACCAAGTTACTCCCACCCGCCCTGAGTTACTCTTGTGACGGGACCTGCCAGTTCGGCTGCCTTGACCAAGCGATAACAGGTGGAGGGGGAAGGAGAGGTATGCCTGAAGACTCGTTTCCAGTCGAGGAATCATCCAGGCAGAAAACAGGGACGTCAAGGCTAATGCGATTCCTTCTCGGGCCGTTGGGAGACATCCAGGCTTCTCCCGCTGAGCAGGAGGCCAAAAGGGAGGGAAAATGGAGAGGTCATCCAAACAAAAGAGGGTCATCAAAGGAAAGTAGGTGATTAAGCAGGGAAGGTTTGGTGCCAGCAGGGGACGATTGATCTGGCTGGCGGTGATCGTTCAGGCAAGAAGTGTCGTCCAAGAAAGAGGAAGAATCTTGAGATCTTTCGTGCAGAAGCCTTAGTTTATCCAGGATGCCGGGATAAGTGAGGATTGGAATTACAGTGACGAGGTAATACTAAAGCTCTAAAGTCATGTCATAGCTGCACAGAGGTACAAGGTGTAGATGATTGATTGGTGAAGATTAAGCCACCCAAAAGGTGGCACGGGCATGAATAGCCAGTAAGTGACCAGACCACACACTAGAAGTTGAAGGGACGACGACGTTTCGGTCCGTCCTAGACCATTCTCAAGTCGATTGAGAATGGTCCAGGACGGACCGAAACGTCGTCGTCCCTTCAACTTCTAGTGTGTAGTCTTGTCAACATACTTCAGCCACGTTATTGTGACTCATCGCCTGCAGCCCGTAAGTGGTGGCCCTTTTGAGCCATTACCAGTATCAAGAGCTGATACTGGAGATCTGTGGAGGTGCGACTGCACCCTGCGTGACGGGAGATGTCTCCCGTCCAAGGTGTAGGTGTGTGTATAACCACTTTGCAATCTGCTTGTATGAACTCTTATAAAGATTAGTGTGTGTCCCATCATTGAAGCTTGGTTCAGGCTCTGCCTAACCGAAGGAGGTAAGGAAGCAGTGGTAATAAAGTAGCATTCTAGTAGTGCATAATAATTGAGTGTAGGGTCTATGACTTTGGAAAACGTCTCCACTACGTCATCGCTACTGTGGGAGCCGGTCGGCCGAGCGGACAGCACGCCGGACTTGTGATCCTGTGGTCCTGGGTTCGATCCCATGCGCCGGCGAGAAACAATGGGCAGAGTTTCTTTCACCCTATGCCCCTGTTACCTAGCAGTAAAATAGGTACCTGGGTGTTAGTCAGCTGTCACGGGCTGCTTTCTGGGGGTGGAGGCCTGGTCGAGGACCGGGCCGCGGGGACACTAAAAGCCCCGAAATCATCTCAAGATAACCTCAAGATCCCCCACCCACTTTATCTTATCTTGATAAGATAAGATAACTTCATAATTTTAATCTGACTCAGATTGTGAATCTTGCTTACCTGAGGCGCTCCCGTAGTCTTATGATGCTCCATTGTCTTAACTATTTCTTACTCAGGTTGTTCCATTGTCTAAGTATTTCTTGAAAGTTTACATGTTATAAAGTTTGAAAATGATGATTATAATGGATAGTATTTCACATACTATGTACTCAAATCACAAACTCACTGAAGTTTAAACTAACATCAATGCAAGAGTAAATGGCTATTCAATAAATTACATTTTCACAACAAGAGATCAGGAAAAAATATATATTAAAGTTGAAAACATCCAATGAGAAACCTTAAGAACCAAACCCCACACAAGGAATAGAACAATTGAGGGTAGAACTGTTCAAAGTCTGCTTCAAATATATTCTTTTGCGGAAGCTCAAAAAAATGGACCAACTTAGGGGAACGCAGACGGCACCACAGGAGGAGGCCGCGGTTGTTCAACGTCCTCCCAGCGACTATCAGAAATATTGCCGGAACAACCGTGGACATCTTCAACAGAAAACTGGACTGTTTTCTAAAAAGTTCCGGACCAACCTGGCTGTGGAGGGTATGTGGGCCTGCGGGCCGCTCCAAGCAACAGCCTGGTGGACCAAACTCTCACAAGTCAAACCTGGCCTCGGGCCGGGCTTGGAGTAGAACTCACAGAACCCCCATCAAGCAGGCATCAGGGTGAAGGAAACTGCCCATTGTTTCTCGCCGGCGCCGGGAATCAAACCCGGGCCACAGGATTACGTGTCCAGCATGCTATCCACACAGCCACCGGCGCCCCTGATGTGTGTGTCCCAAAGCTTAGCGTTTGTATACACATATATATGTACATATATATGTGTATACGCATATATATGTACATATATATGTGTATACGCATATATATATATACATATATATGAGTATACGCATATATATGTGTATACCCATATATATGTACATATATATACCTACATGACTCCTGAAGATGTATTAATATACGAAAGTACTTAAGGAAATTCCTGTTTCAATTTTCCTCCGTGGTCTGACACTGTCATATATGTACATGTGTACATATATATGTACACATACTGAGCCTCGGGCACATGTGTGTGTCTCAGTTCAAGTTCAAGTATGTTTATTGAGATAAGCAATAAATACATCTCAAAGGGATAGAGTATCTTAGGCTATTTCTACCCCCTTGTGTCTCTCAATGTGATGCAATGGTTACTATGTGCTCGTCTAGTTGTATTTGCGGGGGAATGAGCTCCTGCTCTTGGGTCCCGCCTCTCGACTCTTTAATCAACAGGTGTTGACGAGGGGCTGGTTCAGAGGAGCCGGAGGCTACTGGTGTTCCTCGGGTCATGGGTTCCATTCTCCTTCATTTGTCTGGTGAGTGGCGTTATCACCTGGAGGGTTTATCCGGAAGACGACCGGCCCACTATCTCCTCATTCATCGTCCTCTATCCCAAGATCAGCGGGTTCACAGGCGACTGCGTCTCCAATCCCCTCGTCCCTCCTATCCCCCTTCTGCCTGTCCCAGACCAAGCATAAGAAATATTGCCGGAACAACCGTGGACATTTTCAAGAGGAAACTAGATTTATTCCTCCAAGGAGTGCCGGACCAACCGGGCTGTGGTGGGTATGTGGGCCTGCGGGCCGCCCCAAGCAACAGCCTAGTGGACCAAACTCTCACAAGTCAAGTCTGGCCTCGGGCCGGGCTTGGGGAGTAGAAGAACTCCCAGAACCCCATCAACCAGGTATCAACCAGACCTTTTTTTCGTGGCTGGTGACGTCACGCCTCCCCTATTTCCAGCACC